TTTCAACCCTTTAATTTCTCCTTTCTTATGTTTTGAGAACTCGTGATCTTTGTTGTACTGTTCTCATGCTGCTCATCCTGTTTTTCTCAAGCTTCTACCTTATTTTGGAGCAGTGAGGCCTTCTACTGTCTGCTTTGTGCATCTTTGTCTTCCTGCCAGCATTTCTCCTTATTATGACTACAAAACTGACTTGGAATACAGTAAAGTAATTCTCTACTGCAAAAACACAACTTTGTTTCTCACAAGATGGTGCTTTTGTCAGGTACTCTGACCAGCCACTCGCCATCTCCAGCCCACTGTGTTTATCACGAGCAGGACGTTTCAGGAGTCCAGCATCTGCCAGCAGAGACTGGAGAGAAAAAAAGAAATATCACAGCCTCAGACAGAGAGAGGGCAAATAAACCTATTGCAGCAGGCTTAGCTGTGAGAAATCCAGCAACCCTTCCCTGTCAATGATGGACTTTATGAACTGCTTGGGAAACCTTGTTTCCTGAGGTGAGCCAGGGACGTGGAATTCTGGAGATCGGTGCTTCCTTGGCTGTTCTTAGACCTCCTGGTACCACAAAGTCAAGGAGCAGGACACATAATGCACTGTCTAGACTGTCCTCTTCTCCTTTCTGATTTTGCTGCTTTTTTGTTGACATGAGCTTGGAACACTGCTGGGTTTTAGGGGTAATTCAGTAGGCTCTTGCAATTTACTAATTTATATTCAGCAGTTTTGCTCTTCTGCATTTGGAGTCTGTTCCTAATAAACAGCTAGCACTGCAGTGCTTGGTAAGAGTGGAATCACTTTGGTTTCAAGAGTATCTACAAAGTGTCTGACTGCTGTGAGAGCTCCTGTATCATGTAGCTTTTGTGGCTTCTTCAATTTAAAATGTGCCTGTGAGTTCTGTGACAGGCAAAACTTGTTGTTTCCCTTGAGAAGTCCCTAAGTAGCTCCTGCAGCATGTTGTATGGAGACCCCGTTATTCTGGATGCTCAATGGGATGTGATCTCATCCTTGCAGGGATGTCATCTGGATGATATATGTAGTTGTTTCCAATCTGGGTTTCTGTGATGCTGTGCAGAGCTCTGTCAGCCCAGTGGAAACTTGAATTTGTGTGCAATTTGTGTGGTCTGAGATTCCTGCACTTACGAGGGCGGGTTAATTATCTGTATTTTTAGCTTGAGATACAGAAGTCCTGACCTTTCAGCAAGTTTGATTGCTATTGTTCCCTTCTTGGGTTTCTAGAGCAAAATCCAGAGGCTCTGGGCCAAGTGCCCTGAGCAATGAATCCTGGTTCTTTCGCCTGCCACTGTTGGGCACACGTGCTCTGCCCTCCCTCTTTCCTGCCAAAATGAGATGTGTATTCTCTTCTCTGCTGGATATCTGAACCAAAACAACTAAAAATCTCAAAATATTCAATGCTACATTTGGGAAGAAAGATGACCTGACTGATCCTCCCTACGACGGGGTATTTCAGTATTTCAGGAGCTACAAGTCATCGCTGAACACAGGCCACGCAACAACTTGGCTGGAGCCAGCAGGCAGCAGCCCCTGGAGACAGGCAGAGAAGAGCAGCACATTCCCTGTCCTGTACGGGAGGTTCACTTGCAAGCAAAATGGTCAAAAATGCCTTCATGTCCCACAGAATTGTGTTGGTTTTTTTTTTGGTACTTGAAAAATGATGGCCTGTTTGCCATCTCAGTATGCCAGTGCTTCATATCTGAAGCGTTGTAACATGGCTGTTGCTTTGCCTTTTTTCCCAAGAGCTGCTGCGGCTGGGAAGAGCACTGGAAGTGCCTGACAGATGTCAGCAGACAGCTCTATTGGGTACGAAGTCTGGCGCTTTGGTGCAGCCCTGCAAGAGTGACCGGTGCTCAGAGAGGGGAGAGCTTAGCTACACATTGGCACTCTACTGATACTTTCTGAATTCTCTGTAAACCTCCTCATGTCTGAGACTTGGCACTGTTTGCTGGGTGTTATCTCCTTCAAAGCGGAGAGGAAGAGATTAGTACCAATACCAGCTGGAACAAATTCTTCTCATAATGATTTTTTTCAATATAATCTCTAAAAGTTGTTCCTCCTTAGGGAAAACAGTTTCCTAAAAAAACAAGCTAACCCCTTTGCTCCTGGACTGCATTATACTTGGTGTGTGTTTCTATGTTCCCCACACTGCCTAGGAAAGGCAATGGTCATACCCAGCACATGGTCACCCCTTCAAGTCCCAGCCATTATCAGCACAATCCCCGCAGTCCTTCCCAAGTTACAGAAACTATAACTAGCTGTGCCTGCGTGAGTGTGAGATGATATCCTAGTGCCGTGGTGTGCCTCGCTTTCAGTTTTATTCTAACAAGTGTCCTTATTTACTGAGCACTTTGCTTCCAAACTAAGGCTGTAATAGTTTTCTTCTTCCAAATGGAGATATTGAAAGTGCTTGGCATTTGTTACTCCTTTGAAGAATTAGTCCTCAGTTCATCGACTACAAGGCTCATTACACTTCAGAAAAGAGGTTGGTTTCTTGTCTTTGGGATGCGTGGTGAGACTGATTACTGATGACTCGTTACAAATTTTATTTGCTGATAATTGACTGATTTTTTTTTTTTTTCCGCAGCAGATACACAGATACACTCACTAGGAATCGTTAGATTCCCTTTGTTGTTGAACGGGGTCCCAGGTAGATTGAGACCCTCTGCACCATTGTACGACTACAGAAGGAGATTGTATAAGATTATTTATGAACCGCTGTTAGATATGCATATTTTTGCAGTGACCCACCAGTGCTTTTATTATTTGAATGTTCTCATGTTTTGCTTCTCCTCCTCCTCTTCCTTAAGCAGTGCACTCTGAAGCAGAGGATCTTTTTCATCTTGGTTTATGTGCCTGGGCTCTGTCTCACTTATTCAGCCTGAACTCTTTAAAATCTCTTATGTCTAGCTTAGTATTGCTGTGCTCTAATTAAGATACAAATATTTTTGGCAGTAGATGTAAAGTTACAATGCCCAGCTATTTAACACCTATTATACTGAACGTTTTTCTCTTAAACATCACAGTAGCTCATAGTTTTATTTTGCCAAGCAGAATAAAGGGGTGGAAATAATGCTTCATTTAGTGTTGAAACCTTAAGGGCTGATGGACTGCAGTGATGAACCCGAGTGATCAGACAGTACCATTGCATCTCAGCTTTAAATATTTATTTGTTGTAAATAAAAATATGGACAAGTAAAATAAAAGATTACTTAATGTGCACACTCTGGTGCATTTGAATGCAGCATGGAGGAGGTGAAAACAAACAATGCCTTAACTTTGCTAATTGTATGCACACATGGCTGCAAACAACTGAGCTGCGGCAGGGGAGCTCACGGAGTGGCAGCACGTCTGTGGAGGCACAACAGCTGCTGTGTGCAGTCCTCATTTGCTCCTGGTGTGAAGTAAAATACATTACTTTTAAGATCCTTTCTGGCTACACGGGCTGATACGTTCTACTCTGTACTGGGCCAGTGGCACACAACAGGCACGCAAGCCATCAGCTGTGGCTGGCTGCAAACACAGCGCTGCACGTCTCGGTGGGGTCACTGCTGCTGGATGCAGGTGGATGCCCGATACCAGGAGCTGGAAAACCTCACCGAGCTGACCAGCAAGGATGTGCTCAGCACCCCTACTCAGATTTTCCTTACACAGGTGCAATATCTGGGTCAAAGGCTTTCATTGTCCGCAGTCAGAACAAAGCAGATTCACAAGCATCCTGAGCTTTTTGCATCCACCTGACTTCCCCTCCCCACCCAGATGGGGCCAGCCACAGACCGACAGAGAGCACATACACTGGGGCCTTTCCTCCTCTGCTTGTCCTCCTGTTCTGTAAAATCTGAGCTGTGCCAGTGGCATTTTCCCGATGTTTCCCAGTGGGCCTGCTGAAAGATCACTGCCCCAGCTCAGCAGGTGCAGCAGGACTCCGAAGCAGGGTGCCCGAATGCAAAACTCACTGCGTCCGCTCCTGGAGCAGTTGAGAGAGCGCTGCTGTAGCAGTGGGGAAAATAAAACTCCCCTTCTGAAGCCGTTTTCAGTTCTTAGTCTGATCTGTGAAGGGGACAGGGTTTGTGCAGATGTTTGTCTGTCTGTCAGTCCATCCCTATGGTGATCCCAGGCAATTCTGACTGAAGGCTGCAAGCCTCAAACTGCAGCGTGTTCCTCTGGGAGCGGTGGCCGTAGGCATCCCGCTGGAGGAGAGACCCCCAGGGGGACTCCCCCAGGATGGAGAGCCAGGGGGTCTCTCTGCTGACAAAGGGACACGCAGGGAGCACTGGGTGGGCACCTGAGCAGGATAGACACAGGAGGGAGCTGGTGTTTTGAGGGCACCAGTGGCGTGTATCAGTGGGGGATGAAAAGATAGGAACACAGCTGTGGTGAAGGGGGGCTGTTGTTTGTGGGCTGAAGGGAAGGGGCCGAGAGTACTGATACATACGGTACCAGGCTGGTCCTGTCATTGGCAGATGTCCTTTGTGCTTTGAATTGCTGGTTCTCTTTGGATTCGTTTGTTCTCATGTGCCCATACGGGATTCTGGGTGCAGGTAGCAGTCAGTCAGCAGCAGCAGCGAGCACCAGGCGTGGACAGGAGATGCACATATTTCCAGTCCTTGTTTTAGGGGGCGTGTTATGTCTTTGGCTTCTAACAGCGCATACCTTGACTCCGTGTGAAATTCTTCCGGTTCGTCTCCACCCTGACCAGCACTGTAGTCCTTAACTTCCAAAGGAGATTTCAGCAGGGCCTGCTGAGAGCTCTGATGGAGGCTTTACTGGAGAGCAGAGCTGCCTGACTGAAACAAAAAGCAGGATACCTTAGGATTAGCTACGTAGCACGGGGGGTTAATGCGAGGCAGTGGCTGTCTGCGTGCCTGAGAGATTCAGCGTGGTGTGTGGGATCATTGGGACTGCATGGGGGTTTCTGGCTGAGCAGTGTACTCTGGAGTGCTTGCTTTTTACTTCAAGGTTTCTAAAGTGGCCTGTTTTCTTATTCCTACAGACAACTTTAGGTACACGTGTGACATTTGCGGGAAAAAATATAAATATTATAGCTGCTTCCAAGAGCACAGAGACCTGCATGCCGTGGATGGTGAGTACTATTTTGACATTTAGACACCTAAACTAAAATGAGAAGTGGTTGCTGTGTTGCCCTGGGGAAGGCAAAAAGTGGTCCTGCAGGATCATGTGGCCCATGATGTGCAGGACACGTCGCAGCATTCCTCGTTTGCCTTTGTCAGGGGAGGCACAGTCTGCAGGCACTGCAGGGAGAAGTCTGCTGGGCTTGATTCTCTTTGCATGCATCAAAACAACACCCTCTGCTGGGACCTGCGGTCCTTGCAGTCCTCCCTCCTGTATTAAGGTTCGTGGTTAAGATGGATATGCTAGAGCAGAGTGCCTCAAGGTAAATTGTCCGTCGGGCCACTGCCTAGGCAAGAATTGGTTGCTTTTTGGTTTCTGACTTCACATGTTCGTTCCTAACATGCCCTTCTGTGAGAAACCACGTTTCAGAGTTGAGAAATGTTGTTTCATTCTTGTTAATTACTGTGGTAGTGAAGAGATACAGTTGTCAGGCTAATTTTTCCTTTGTGAATGTAGATGTGGTCTATGCGGGTGACGCTTAGACAGAAGCAGACATCCTCCTCTAGAAGCAGTGTGTTTCTTTTTTCTATACTGGGGGGAATAGAAGCAACAACATACTGTCTTTGGCTTGGCTGCCTATACTTACAGGTCATTTAAAGCTCCTTAACTTGGAGCCCACACCTACTCCAAACCCTTACTGCACATGCTGTGAGCATGTCGGTGTTGCTCCTCACCTGGCTGAGGAGGGAGGCCTGGCAGATTTTTAGGTAGAGACTGCTTGGGAAGCAGAAAGTTCCGGCTAGCTGGAGCATCTCAGAAAAGCAAGTGGATTTTCACAGAAAATGTTTTGCTGTTTTTCAGTGGAACATGTGGACATCTAAATGTGCTCTAAGAGCCAGTGTTCTCTTGCAGTACACCACGACAGACTATTGTTCTTGTGCAGAGGCCTAAAATTAAATTAGCGGGGCTAAAAGTCACTGTGAGATGGACGTGTCTGCTCCTGTCAGAAGTGTGTCTTCATAGCTATGGTTCAGGGAGTGCTACCTCAGCTTATGAGACAGCTTTGGAAATGGCTTCCACTTGTCTTTTGCAAAGACACTGTTCATCATGGTTCCACCGAGGGGGTGGAAGTGTCTCAGCAAACAAACGTGAAGCAGGTGTGCACCTGAGCTTCACATGGGGCTGAGTCTGTGTCAGAGCAAAGGCCTTGAGAATCTCTGTGTTTTAGGGCTGGGCATGCTCATAGTTCCTGCGTGGATGCTGGTAAGAGGAGGGACTGGGGCACAAAGCCTGGTGTATTCTGTGGGGCTGAAATATGCTAAAGCGGTACGTGAAATACAGGAGGAAAACAAGGCCATTTAAGGATTTAATTTCTGTTTTGTTTCTTCCCCTCCTTCTTCTATTCTGTGTTAGTTTTTAGTGTGGAAGGTGCCCCAGAAAACCGGGCAGGTAAGCTGTGATCCTTCGTGTGCTTTATTTCACAAACTTTTTCAAGCATTCAGTAATTCAGGTACAGCAGGTCCGATTCTACACTTGTAAGAGTCAAACGAGTTTTTTCACTGATTGCAGTGGCAGAGGAGCATCCTCTCTGCCTCACCTGGTGTGTACAGCCAGTAGGTTAATGCCCAGCCCTAGTAGATACCAGGCTTTTGTTGTACGTACAATTGATCAGGCTTCTGAAAAAATCAAAGAAACAGGTGTTTCATGTCTCTGGTGATTTAGTGAATTGTTCAAGGCATAGATTACATTATTTTATAAAATGGGTTGGGTTCTGATTTGCTTCGAGCTGTGGTGTTAGATGGTAGGAATTCACTGGTCAGTGTTTGGTAGCTGACTTGCTCGCAGACTGCATCACTGTGGCCACTTTCAGACATCAAAACATCATTAGACGGGAGATGCACTGGAAGAAAATCAGGAAATATAAATCAGGCTTTGAATTACCGGGCTGGAAAGGGGGTTAATATTTGACTGGGGCACCTGAGGTGGAGGAGGGACAAGTCAGACAGAGGGGTCATTGGGTTTGTAATTCATGTCTTGAAATCTTGTTACAGATTGAAATGTCATTACAGATGCAGGAGCATTCAGTGCCTATGCAGCTGTAGAAGGAAAACCTGAGGGTGTTGTCAGCTCTCTTGCTGGTTCTGTTCTCTTGCAGACCCCTATGACCAGGCCGTCATAGCAGCAGATGAAGTAAAGGAGGAGGAGCCGGAACCCTTCCAGAAGATTGGTCCAAGTATGACTTATTTTAGAGATTCAAATATAAGAGGCAGCACAATGGTTTCAAATGTGGCACTAGGTGGAGTTCGTCTAGTAAAACCAGAATGCAGTGCCTTATGCATAGATTTTGGGACCCTAGGAGTTCTAAAAGATACATTTAGGTTCAAGTGAACACCAACCATCACCAGCCCTGGCCCTGAGAAATGCAGCCTTGTGATGTTTTCTGTTCAAGATCTCTGCTAAGAAAAGAGGAAAGAAGTTGAGGATAAAAGCAAACTGGCAGTGATTAGAGAGGGTGTTAGGGTATACTGGCAGCGTTGACAGGTGATTGTGTGCATACTGCCTTTGTGGTGGGTTCTTCAAACAGATCAGGGTGAAACCAAAGAGATCAGAGGAACAGATTTTGCCCGATAAATTTTGGAAACAATTGAGTAACCCTGGATTTTACCTTGGCTTGCGGCTTCGTATCAGTTCTGTTCTTCCCAGCACTGGCAGGAACAGGAGGTGTCAGTGCATGGGTACACTACCTTATTATTTCAGGTACCCCCAAAACATGGATTGGCAAAGAAAAGCTCATCCTCCTGAAGACGAATCAACAATTCCAATATATATTCTACAATTAAGACTTAAACTTGACAATTCTGTTCCCTGATTTGACTATCCCGGCCATGTCCATTCATCACAAACTGTCTGTGACCAGAAGACAAAAATGTGTTGTCTGTAGTTTAGACTTCAGAAATGGATTCTCTTTTGTTTTGCACACTTACCTGCTGCAATTTTGGATAATCTCTTGCAGCTTGTTCAGTTCTACTGGAGCTGGTCCATCAGTCTAAGCACTGGCTTTAACTGTTGCCTTTTTGGGGGAAAGGGATGTGTGAATTATAGGACAGATAAGTTCCTAGTACATGAGGAAAATGCTCTAGTGTGTTTTGTCACCTGGCCTGGTTTCAGTGTGAAGAGTCAGGAAGTCAGTGATTTTGTGAGAGGATGCTGCACTCTTCTCTAATTTTATTTAATGCTTATTTATTTAAATTCTTCACAGAAACTGGCAATTACACCTGTGAATTCTGTGGCAAGCAGTACAAATACTACACTCCATACCAAGAACATGTGGCGCTGCATGCACCTATTAGTGAGTATCCTGCTGGAGATCTATTGTATTACAGACTGTGATTTACAGTGGTTGGTGATAAATGATGAGGGCTGCAGGAGAGGGTATCATTCTTGTGGATCCTTCCACTGGACCCTGTGGGATTGCAGCTGGCAGGCCACAGATCATGTGCTGACCAGACCACTGCAAAGCTGAGCTGAAATCTCCTCTTAGAGGGGCACTGTTACTGTTAGGTCTGTAAAGTCACTGAACTTTTACCAAAGCCCATGCAATTTCTTATGTGTTCCATGGGGGTTTGATGCATTATTTTGTTGTTTAACTGAAAGTTCCAGTACCTAAAGTATATATAAAAAAGTGATGCACAAACTTTTCTAGCCTCCCCTAAATAAATGAGTACATGCTGGGGGGGGAGCATCTTTCTTTTGAGCTTCTGAGAAACTATTGCAGACAGCGAGTTCAAACTGGTATTCAAAATCATGTAAATTACCTTGGCAGCTTACTACTAAATCACAGGCAATAAAATATTTATTTCAGGGAGCTCGGGAAAAGGCAGTTCTCAGCATACTACACGACACTACGATCTGCACTCTGGAGGGACACTACGATCTGCACTCCCCAGACAAAGGGGAGGTTGTAATGAGCAATTAAGTGTAATTCAGTGCAAAAGTCTAGTGAAACAATTGAGAGAAATTCTTGCTATGTGCTGGTTTGGGATGCTTTAAAAGAATGCAGGGAAGTTGTTTGCTCCTGAACTTCATGCTTCTTTCATAGCATCGCCCTGTGCCACATTGCAATTTTAATTCTGTGAGCCAGCATGGTTGCTCTTTTGCCCACATTTGTCCAGCTGCCAGCATTTTGGCTGATGATGGGGATGGATGAGCTGAGTTCATTAAAGTTGTTTTGTTAGCTGCTCATTCACAGCCAGCAGAGGGAGTGCATACTCCTTCCTCACCAAATTGAGCTTAAGTTAGACTTTAGAGTTATTCTAACGAGGCAGCTTTAGTTTTAGACATACGTAGAAAAAAAATGGGAACGTAGTCCACCAGATGATCACTTAGAAGGTAGGTCAAGGCTTGATGGCTCTTGACAGCTCCCATCCAGGTTCCCTGGGGCATGGAGATGTACCAGGATGATGGTAGAAGGTGTGGGGCCTAGAATATCTCTGCCACCACCCTCATATAGTCAATCTGCTTATCTCCCATCTGCTCAAGGGAACTAACTTATGGTTGCACATGTAACAGTTATTCCTAAACATTTCTACACACTCAAACTCCACTTCCCAGAGGAGACAGGAGTCTAAACTCAGGTGTTTTCAGGTCCTCAGAAAAGCTGCTGGAGGTGATCAGTAGTAGATTGATCTATGAGTATAGAGGGGCCTATAGACACTGAGGCTTTGATGTCTTTAGTCCACCCCTGTACAGATAATCAAAGAAACTTAGTAGTTGTATAGCTAAGGAGCAGTGTGCTGTGATGAGTGTTCATCAAATCTCTGCTCAACAAGAACAGATTCTTATCTTCTCAGCACATCCCATTTGAAGGGGATTTATCACTAAGGATATCTCTCCACCCTCCCAGCCATCTGTAATAACAGTCTGCAGCTGCTGGTTCCAGTCCAGCCTATCCAGCATAAAGGAAAAACACAACTTTTCTTCTTTGAGAGGAATTCGCCTGAAGTGGGCCCTGCACGTATGACTGCAGATATGGATGGTCCATGTGGATACTGCCCTTCTTCCTGAGCAGAGTGCAGCTGTAGGGATCATCTGCTCAGCATGAGGGTTAGGGCTAGTGCTGTGGGCCTGATGTACGCTTTTTGGCTGCTAGAAGCCAGAACAGTCTGAAACTGCAATGTGGGAGAAGTCAGAAAGACATTTCACCAAGTGCCAGGAGAGCTGCTGAGATAAGCCTGAACCCTAAAGGGTCAGGAGTTCCCCTGTGTTAGGCAGGGATTTGCCAAGCAGGAAGCTATGTTTTTTCCAGTGGTCACCAGTTTTGGAGGAGGTGGCACATTGTTTTGCATGCTGAGATTGAAGCCATTTTTGCACCATGGTTTCTGCAGTAGCCTTTTCAAAGGAGAAATAAGCTGTTCGCACCAACGACTAGAACCAGCAGTCACTGAGGGAGCAAGTCAAGTCCTTTCAGCAATTATCTTTTAACTATGAGGACACATGAGGTCAGATCAGGATAATACTGTCATAAGGCTTAAACCCTCCTTACAAACTTTTTTTTTCACATTTTTTTTCCTCTCCTAGTTGCCATGACCAGTAAGCTTTATGATTTACAGTGACAAACTGCAATCCCTGATGAACATACGGGGTGTGATTAAGCTCCCAAGGCAGGCTGGCCAGTACATCCTCCCAGTTTGCTATGTTCAGACTCTGCTCTTCATTTAAACCAAGGTCCTGTGAGGTAGCTGCAAACACCTGACTTTTGATGCAGTGCACAACTGGCTTTTCTCATCCCCTAGCAACCAGAGGAAGTAAGAATGAGACTCTGTCTTTACCCTGGCCTTGTTCTTGTGGTTATATGGCAAATGCTGAAAAATTAGCCTTATTGGGGTAAGGAACACACTTCAGCATTACCAGTCCAGCTTTCTGGGTCTCTCTGCCTGAGTGCAAGCTTCCCTTCCGGAGCCTGTCTTTCTGGTTTTCTGTGATAATGGATTAAAAGTTATTGAAACGAGGCTAAAACAAGGACTTATATCCTGCAGGGTCCCTGGGGCCTTCCAGGATAGTTTTTGGTCAGTGCTACTGGATACCTACTGTCTGTAAAAGTGCTATGCTGTGGGGTTCCCTGGAATTGTTAATGCCAAATACCTCCTTCAGAACTCCCCTTTTGTTAGTGAGGAGAAAGAGCTTTTTCCTGTGCCTAGAACTGGGTTATTTCTTTTCTAAAATACTGATTCTTACCATGTTTCTATCAGCCAAGAGGTCTATTCACTCTAGGAAGAGTGTTGTTTTTTTTAAAAAAAAAAAGGATTGTGGAAATGGATTGTAGGCATGTTCGTTGTCACTGGTTTAGAAATGTCTCTGAATGGAGGTGCACATGAGGGAGGGCTCAGAGATTTCTTTCTGTCCTCTCACAGCTCTGTCTGCTCTGTAATTTGGAACATTTGCAGGTGGCTGTGCTATTGTGGATGCAGAGAAAACCTAGTGCCTTTGGGACGTGGGCTGTTTAGAAAAGCCACTGAGACTGTTTTAGCTTGCTAAGTCCAGGCTCAGGAGTGTGCACTCTTCTGGTAACTGCAGGTATGGCAACAGACTCCAGTCATGGAAGCATGTGGTGAGAGCTCTAAAATCCACACGGCTAGCCACATCCATTGCTTCCAGGATGGAAATCTGAAGTGATGTTAGGGCCCTGAGTGCACTAATAAATCTGGGTGGCCCTGGCTAGCCTCACATGGGGCCTCCACCCACACACAAAACCCCTGTGTCAGCTCAGCTGTTTTGCGTCTCTGTGCAACACTATGTGATATCAGTCTACAGCTCAGTTGTAGACATGTAGGTCTGGACCCTGGCCTGTAGACCTCTCAGCTTGACCTCAACCCTGTCGCATCACTTTGGACCTCCTCGAGCTTTGCTGGGCTGTGGCTAACCCTGATTATCCTCATCAGACCTGATCCTGCCTCTGACCTGTGAATTGACTTGTCAGCTTGACCACAGACATGCCTCATCACCAACAACTTGCCTGATGATCTGGACTCTTGATTGAACCTGGCTTCCATCTCTTGCCTGCCCTGTTCACCATTTGGAGGCCATAAGATGGGTTCTGGCTGGTGAGGCCCCTGCCCTGCCAGCCCTGTGGCTGTGCTTGGCTTCTGAGGGGACAGCCAGACTACACCATGAAAACTACTCCCTGCATCCAGACTTCCTGCACCATGACACCTGAGAGGCTTTCAGAAATTCATCAGGCTTGGCTGCTAAATTACTTTTCTTGTTGTAAAGAGCACTGAATACAATTTGTTCATCATAATTGCTTACACACTTGCAGTGCTTCTTAAAGACAGCTGCCATCATGGCTTTTTCTCTTAAGGAAAGCAATGCTTTTTGGTAGCGTGTCACGTTTCCACTTAGGTCCTACCTACCAAAGAAAATAAAAGATCCAGATTCCAGCTATGTGTCTTTGCTTCCTCCGTTTCAGTGAGTGAAACTTGTGAGTTTCATGTTTTTTCGCACTCTCTAGATACAATGTGCCTTAGCAACAGACTTTACAGGCCTGCATTTGTAATACAACAAAAACGTGTTTGTATAGAGAAACACGTTAAGAATTTGATAGATTTGAGCATGGAGTCTTTCCTATGGAAAGTTCTGTTTCTAATAGGGGAGGTCTCCACTCAGCATATGGAATTTTAAGCCATTGCTAAGGAATCCCTTTACATCATGTTCATTAAAGGGAGGTTTTTCTCCAGAGGTGATTGCATAATTCCATCCAAACCATCTGAATGGCTTTCTTGCCATACTTCCTTATCTGTCCTGACAAAATGTGTCTGAAGAAATGTGATACACAAATTATTAGCCAGAACTTTCACCTGGAATAAGTTAAATTACTCAGATAATCTGATAACCTTATCTGTTGTGGTAGGGAAGAACAGAGAGTTAATGTCTTCGTGATCCTCCTTGGGAGTGTTTGTAGACCCAAAGCACCTCAGTTGCTTTAGCCACGGCATTGCCCTGAGAGCACTTCCACAACCATTGTGACCATGCACTGCAACTACCAGGCTCTTTTTTCTGCTGCCAGGGAGGAGTCCCCTATCTTTTTATTATCACCTGCATTGTCTGTCTTCTTTAGCACACCATGTGCACTTCTGTGCCATTTTGTGTGGATACAGCATGGTGTACTCAGTTTAGTTTAACAACTGATTGGAGATCATCCAGTGAATCTTAATCTCCATGTTACTTCTTTTTCTACTAGGTGTTGGATCATTTAAAAACTTTTTAATGAAGTTTGGGGTGTTACTCAAGATCACTGATTAAAAAAGGGGGGGAATAAAGAAGTGATGCTTCTCTAAGTTTGACATGGTGGGGATGCACCAACAGCTGAAACTTCTCTACTGCCCTCCCTTTTCCAACGTGTCATCCTCAACTGGGGCATATCTCAGATATTTTCTGAGAAAGTTTAAAAATAATATTCTGTAGCAGCAGTTATGGGATCAACTATCCACAATGCTGTCTCTGGTCTTGCTGTCTACCTGCAGATTTTGAGGCAGGGTTTTTTTGTAGCCATTCAGCAATTCAGTATTTTAATTTCTTCAAATATCTTGAACTTGGCATTTTCATCAACCTGAGGCAGTGAGTTCCACAATGAAGACTTCTTAACAAGAGCAGAACAGAAGAGCTACACGATTGTCTCTACATATGTTGCTTAGTTTTCAGAGGGAATTTGTCATCTGGTGAGCTAAATTCTAAAACATGTTTTCAGTGAGTTGCTAGCATCCTCAAGACTGCTAGTATTAATATTCTTTTGTCTGTCTTGCCTTGCTGGTACAAACTCTGTCTCTGCCTAGAGTCAGATGGAGCAGCCTTCTCTCTGGAGCCCAAATTTGAACTGTACAACTGGAGAGGGAGAGGACTAAAGCCAGGTCTCCTGCTACATCACAGGTTTGAGACCAAATGTCAGCCTGTTTATCCCTGATACAAGCCATGACATCATATTTGTTTAAGTTGGGAGGAAAAAGAAGTCATTTTGGAGGTCTACATAGCATTCAGACTTCTTCCTTCAGATCTCACAGAGGGAGCAGGGTTATGCAATGACCCACTGTTTCTGACATTGAATAGTTGGCTAATTGCTTCATCATTTGGTATAGATGGGGAAATAAAGCAACAGTTGGCAGGAACAGGAATATTTGGAAATTTAATGATACATAAGGAAATTGTCATATCTGACTACATATGTGCTGGCACTTTGGCAGCAACTGGAGGAGAATTATCCATGGAGATGAAATGGAGTCTAGGAAGCAAAAGCAAGCCTTCTGCCTATTCAGCTGGCCAGAGACCAAGCAGAGAAGTATCTTGACCTTAACTATGAGAGAACCTAGTGTAGACTCTCCTGCATAAGTGCACTATAACATTTACAGGAAATGTCATCTTGGATCTCTGTAGCAGATCAAATGAAACAAAAAAAAATATTTCCTTTGAGTATCTGTTTGCAGGTTGCTTTGAAAGTACTCATCATCACTTTGCCATGCTGCTGACCTCTGGCAGGAAAAGATGAGAGCAATTCTATAATGTCTCATGGGATTTTGGAAATGAGCATCCAGTCCCAGCCTTGGACTTTTCTCCTTGTCTGCTTTAGAGACAGGCTGTTGTGCTGCTGTGGCAGTCCATGACTGAGAACTGCTCAATGTGGTTAAGTGTTTCTGAGTTACACTATACAGGATTAGCAGGTTACTGGTGCTACCTTCCAGTTGTAGGCATCTTGAAATATCACCCAAGTACAGAAATTGCTGCTAATGTTTGTGGGTAATGTGAACCCTGTTCGTTAGTGATTCTTGGCAGTTGGTTGGAGTGGGTCTTGACTTCAGGAGCCACATCCAGATTTCTGTGGAAGAAGTCACTGAGGAATGAAGGGGGGTTTTAGGTTGTTTCTCTGTTTCTGTATTATTTTTTTTTTAATCAATGAGGCCTAGACAAAGGGCTTTCCTCTCAAGAGTTTTTCATATGACTTTTGGCATTGAAAATTCCTGGTGATCCTCATTGTGCATTGCAGAGACCAAAATGTAAGTCGTGTGTATTCAAAGAGCACACCCCAGTAATATTCAGAACTTTTCCATGTGCCACCAGCATTTGTGTGGAGATGGGGACCAAAAAGTCTTTCCTGACGTGCAGGATGAGAACTCTGCTTCATAATTCCTTTCCATTACAAACAGACAGTGCCATTTGCTTTATATAGTTAAACAGACAAGGAACGTAGCCAGGGTTCTCTAGAACACATGTGAGGCTCAAGGAACAAAGGTGTATACCTCTCCCCATGTAGAGCTCTGACTAGCACATTAGAAATCTTTTCTCACAGTTCAGCCTCTTCCTGACACAGGAGCACAAAGTTGCAGGTACATCCAACCAGGCCATGGCAATCAAATAGGAATCCTAGGTGGATGGGGTGATTCCTACTGCAGTAGGAATGGGTTGGTCATGTGGCAGTTAAAGGTGTGGAAGGGAAGTAATAAGCTTCAAGAATCTATCCCCTTGGGTGAGTGGGGAAAACAATTTTGTTACTTGGGATCAGTGGATCCACATTTGCTGTAGGTCCCCATGCAAGGGATTCGTGAGCATGGCTGTTAGAAAGCAACCCTCCCAGAAGGCACACGGTCTGGGAGCTGACTGACTGTCCAGGCACTAGTTCTGAGTGTTCATATCCAGAGTTCTCTCGATCTCCACTCTTCGTGGCAGTGAAGACACAGGGGAGCCAATCCAGCAAAAAAACACCGTCTTCAATAAACCGATGTTCTACCCTCCTGCACCGCACCCCCTCCGGTGTCCCACCGGCATCCCCATCCCAGATGTTCCGCGCTCCAAATTCTGGATCCCCAGGAAGCAAGGCCATCACAGGTACCAATTGCCTTTCTACCATCAACTTTCTTATCTGCTTAGTGTCCAGTCCTGCCCTGGGTTGGGTTTTGACCCTTCCTGGACTCAGTCTGCTCCATCCATGACTGTCCCAGAAAAGCTCCTCCCAGAAGCAGTTGAGGGGATTAGATCCTTTGGCACAATATAAACAAAAATTCAGATCAGCAGTAGGTCTTCATAACCCAATGACAAGTTTTTGTTTTTTAAAGCATCGTGGTAACCACAAGGTACAAAAGACCCTGTTTCAAATCCTGGTGTCACATACTGAGGAGAGCTTTCTGAGAAGGATTGGCTTTAGTAGTTTGTCAGGTATGGAGATTTTTGTTTGTTTTTCAGCTTTATTTGGTTTTTAGTTTTCATTTCTCTCAAGCAGATATCTTCAGGGTTAAGCCTGGGCCTGGGCAAATGAAATGGAGTGCAGGTATTTTTGCAGTGCTCCACTCCCCACAGGAACCACTGGGAGATAATATGGGCTCCAGCAGCAGAATTAATGGGACAGAACAGAGGTGTCAGAAAACTCAAGTTAATGCGGATCTTCCCTTTGTTCCCTCCCTCCAAACAAGTTCAAATTTAAAAAAAAAATAATCAATTAATAAACTATATCAAAAAATAATCAATTAATAATCAATTAATAAATTAATACTATGTGAGACATAGTATTCACATATCTAGACAGCAGGGAAGAGCTCTTTTAAATCTGTGGGATTGGTAGATATGTATTCCACAGAATCACAGAATTGTCTAGGTTGGAAGAGACCTGAAGATCAAGTCCAACCTCTGACCTAACACTAACAAGTCCTCCACTGAACCATATCTCTAAGTTCAACATCTAAACCTCTTTTAAAGACCTCCAGGGATGGTGACTCCACCACTTCCTGGGCAGCCCATTCCAATGCCTCACAACCCTCTCAGTAAAGAAGTTCTTCCTAATATCCAACCTAAAACACTCCTGATGCAACTTTAGCCCGTTCCCCCTTGTCCTGTCACCAGGCACATGGGAGAACAGATCAACCCCCACCTCACTACAGCCTCCTTTAATGTACTTATAGAGAGCAGTAAGGCGCCCCTGAGCCTCCTTCTCTCCAGGCTGAACAATCCCAGCTCCCTCAGCCGCTCCTCGTAGGACTTGTAGTATCAGTCCATATTACATATCAGTACAGGAGAAGGGCAGGTTAATCAGCTGTGTAAGCACCCCTGAATAGTCTGGCATGGACAGATCCTGAGAAGCAGAGGTGGGAGAAGCCACAGGATGCTGAACAAAGGTGCTTTTTGTTAGAGGACACATGTCTGCATCTACCAGATGTTGCAGTGTGACCTGTCTTCTTAAATCTTGTGGATCCTGAAATTCCATATTGTTATTGCACATCCTAAATACTAATATGATTTTATTACTGATTTAAGGTCTATCCAGTTTAACCAATTCAGGTGTTCAAGCTGAGCAACCTTTTTCATTACTTATGTAAGCTTGTGACAACTTCTTCCAGTCTCGTGTCTCTTTCAAAAGCAGAAAGAGCCTAACTGGGAGTCTTCCAGAGTCCGTATTCATCTGAGCAATAACAGGGAGATAAGTTTTATACAGGGACATTTTTTTCCCCACTACTTTAACCAAAAAGAATATTACTACATTGAATAGAAAGTCTTCCTGTATGTAGGAAGAAATTTCATGATGCTTGAGCCTGGTAGATTGGTCTTCAAGAAAGAATATTTTGTCTGGGTATACTAGCATATCTATCTGGTGGCATGTTTTCCATGGTGTCTTTCAAGGCAGCTTCTTGTACAAACACAATCTGAGTGGCATTTGAATTTCTGGCACAACTGCATTGACCGTAACACCCATCAGGAAGACAGTCTCCAGAAGGGATGCCTTCCGAGTATTGCAGTTAGAAGTGTTTCATGTGGGCCTGGATAATAGCAGAGATGGTGGAATACCGCTCCACTAGCAGTATTTGGATTTCATAGCCACTTGGTGGATTGGCAATTACTTTTCTTACAACAGAGAATTTTGCTTCACATGCAAAAGTTTCAGGTACAAGGAGGAGAGAGACAACTTGTGTCAGCTGCCATCTCTAATGTGGGAAGGACAGAGTAAGTCCATGGAGACGCATTAAAACATTTTTTTCTTATAGCCAGACATGGCAAAATAAAAAGGATTGGGGATAAGGACAAAACCACCATGCAATTTTTTTTCCAAACAATTTTGGAAACCTCCAACTCACTTTCACTTGTGACATAAGCCAGGATTTGAACCTGGGTCTCTTTGGGGGTAGGTTGGCCAGATCCATTTTGTCACGGTTTTATTTTTCCATTATGCCATCTGATTTGCTGGTTACTTAAGGTCACTTGTTCCTATTATTTACTTGTTGAAGGGGATAGACTAGATAATGTACCTAGCTCTTTTTCAGCTGTTTTATGTAGTTATGTTTAACTGATTTGATTACCAAGTTGTCCTATTCCGCATGTGAGAAAGAATCAGGAATGTAGTAGAGAGTTTGAGGAACCTGCTCAGCACTGGAAGGGTCCACTAAGGATTGTCTGGGCCAAAATTTGTGGTCTGGGAGCTTCATGCTCTTCAGGTCTTTCGGAGCCACATCAGACATACAGCCCATGTGTCTGAGACATGAGGGGGCCATGAAGTGGCTGGGGCATCCACACAAAAGTCAGGACAGCAGTGCTGACTGCTCCTCTGTCTGCAGAAACACAAAATGAAACAATTATCTGAAATCAATTTGCAGCAGTCCCTATCATTCCTGAATTAAATCTTTCTTTTCCCAAACACCCTCCCTGTACAATTTGTATGCTGCTCGACCCAGCAGGGCTGTGCTAGGCCACGTTCAGGTGAACCATTGGGTGACACTGGACTTCATAAATGAGTCCACATATGGTAAGAGTCTGTGCAGTACAGACCCTACACAGTAGTTTGGCAAGCTTGCCTTTCATTTTACTGATCTCTAATTGACCCTTTGAGTCACTACAGCAAATACACTCGCCCATATATTGCAAACCCAGTTGAAGCGAGGTAAGACCTGACACTCCTTGTACTGTTGAACTTCGGCTAAGGAACACTGGCCTGAGAAGGATGGGTGGCTCCTCAGATATGCTGTACGGTGACATTTTAGGACACTTCAGCTATTGCCAGGGTCGCGCAGCCACCTCTGCACATTGAAGGAGTAGTCCTTCCCCTACAATTACTGGGAAGTGGTTCTGCTCCAGTACTGAATGGTGCCAGCCACACGGTGCAGAGGAGCAGGGCCTGCCTGCATGGCGTTGGGTAGGGGTAAGGTGAGCTCGCTGTTGGGAAGCACGGGAGGGCAGGGGATCCACCACAGCTTTTCCAGACATCGTGGGCAGACTCTGAGACAGCCCTTCAGTCCTCCACTTGAACATTTCAAGGAGGATGTTTAGGGAAGGAACGAGGATGACTGTGAAGCATGGGGAGAGGTGATGTAGGTGTAGAGTGTCATTAGGTGACACTCTAATGTCATAGTGAGGACGTGAGTCCAATCTGCAGTCCTAGTCACCTGTGCCAGAAGCTTTGAGGGCTGCATATTGCCTTAAGGAAGAGTAAGATACAAGTGTTTTGTTTTGGCTTAGTTTTGGAGGGGAGAAAGGCATGACCCTTCTGGTTCAGTCACGGCTTGTACTCATAGGCACTGTAGGAGCTACTGCAGACCACCTCAGACAGAAGGCAATAACAACAAAAAAAACCTACCTGTTATCTTTTCAATTAATCTGTCCTATTGTCCTCCAAAGCAAGGTATTTTTGGCCACTTTTTGGCTGTATTCAGGGTATGTGATTACATGGCACAGGGAGCATGTCATCTGCCTCCTTTTGTTATAGTCCCTTGTCCAGTATTGACCAGTCACCATCACTGCTTTGTTCTCCACCCAGCAGAAAGTGCTTTCAGCAGGAGAGCAGAAGGCAAAGCGCAAAACAACTTTGAAGAAACAAACAGCAATTCTCAGAACTCCAGCGGTAAGTGTGTTCACTCCCTCCTGCTGTACTTTACCACGATCCTCTCCAGGGCAGTATTCAGCTGTGATTGGTGATTATATATCTGGGGAACGTACTTTAAGCTTGCAAACAGAGAGTCTTCCTGGGGTGTTGTTCTCTTGTTAATCCTCCCCAGGTTCCTGCCACTCCAGAGCCTGTACAAATTATGCTCTGAGGATTCTGTTCCTAAGTCCTGGTGCTTTACCATATTTTTTTTGGTGGGGAACAAAGATGTAGAGAAGGGGGAATATGGATGGACATAAAGCAGTACTCATTCTTTGTCTGTGTGTCAGTGAAGGATTTGTGAAGCAAAACCATTTGGAATATGTAAGAGAACTCTGGGGACCATAAATAGTACAGCAGTGTGCTGCATATTACTGTGATGCTCACTGTGGCAATATATTTACAAATCACTGTAACTGAAGGCCAGCTGTTTGTGAATTTGCTATATGGAGGTCACAATATTTGAGATGTGTAGATGTGAGACCAGAATTTACCACACTTCTGGAGTCTCTTTTGAGTTTTAAGTCCAAGTGGTAGTAACTAAATATAACACTTGCCTAGACAATCTCCTAGACAACACCATTTATACAGTCATCTTTATAACATTTCCATCGTGCTTATCTAACCCCCTGCCTTCAAGTGGGACACTGCTATTCTCTTACACTCCCTAATTGAAGCTTGACAGACAAACCAGATGTATTGTAATTTCAGCGATAATTGTAATTTCAGAGATAAATAATATGCCAGTAGAAAAGGCTGGCCTCCCTCCATTCCCATTCAAGAGTACCAAAACACATGGTGTTCACAATACTGCTAGCTGGAATGGACAGGTAAGGAAAGGGATTTCTCCCTGCAGCAGGTTGCATAGTGTCTGCCTTGGGTGTTTGTCTGTCTCTGAAGCAATTGAGGGGCCTGTACAACTGTGTTAAAAGGGAATGGAGTGGTGATGGAAAACCCACATGCAGTAGCAGAGTGGGTGATAGTGAATGGGGAAAATTGTTACTGAAATGCTGTGTGTTTTGTTTTGGGGAACAATCCTGTACTAATCCAAGCATTCACCACAATTACAGCTGTTCATTCGGGGACAGAAAAACCTAAAGAAAAGAGATGTAAGCAGAACCCATCAGGTGAGCTTGTCTCTGTGTTTCAGGCCTTTATACTCTCTAGTCCTGTTCCTCTTGGGTAGCAGCAGTCAGGAGAGCTTAGGGGCTAGACAAGTCTGTCTTCAGTCAGCCAAACCAGGCTGTTAGACATGACAGAAGACAGATGCAGTTCACTGACTGCCAAGAGTTGTTAGCCTGACTTGCTGCTCTGAAAGTGGCCACTTGCCTCTCAGCAGGCCTGCTCCCCATGCCTTGTCTGCTGTGGGTAGTATGAGTGCTTTGTCTGAAGGATTTGAAAGCCTGCATGTCTTAAAAACAATATACCATTTGGGCTCCTAACTCCTCTGGGGCCCTTTGAAAACAGCAACCTTAGATTGCTTCTTTTTTTTTTCCTGTCAAACCCTGTAGAGTCTATGTCACCATGGACGAAGGACAGAATTATCTCCCTTCATATCAAATAGCTTATCCCTAAAGCCAAGAATGCTGCATTGTAAAACCTTCTGGCTGCAAACATGCTCATGATAAATGTTTCAGAAGTGGAAAAGAACCCGTAGCATGGAAAAGGTTCCAGGAACCGCTGACAAGAAGCACACAGAAAAATAGAGTGGCTGTATTGAATAGTCTTAAGAATTTAGTTCTGTCTGAACTGCTATTAAATACTAACCCATTGTTGCTATGACACATCTCACAGACTCTCCCTACCATCTCCTTGTACCAACTCACATCACACTCATCCTTCTGAATCTGTTTTCTCCAACATTTGAAGCACACGAGTAACAGCTCGCAGTAAAAAACAAACAAACAAACAAACAAACAAAGAAATTTTTACAAACTGAGTAGTGAGTTCAATACAATTTGTTCATCTTCTGTCATTGTTAGAAGAGTTTCTGCCTGCACCACAGCGATAGTCAGTTTATTTCCGTGGCTTAGTCTAGGGCCTGACAGACTGCAGGGGAGTTACAAAGTGCTCACCAAAATTGTTGTTTGAGCCAGGAAACCTGAGGAACTCTAGTGAGCTGCTCAGGACTGGTTGGAAGGGTGTTAGTCTGTGGTTGGAAATGCTTCTTTTCTTCGTTAGGCAGCTGACACACTTTTCAAAGCCAGACTGGTGCATGGGGATATATAAACTTCTTCCCTTTTCTCCTTTGACTCCATCTTTGTGCTACTTCTTTAGTGTCCCATTCGGTGCTCTTTTCCAGCTCTCCCACCAAGCCATCACCTCTTTTATTTCTTCATGTTTCTCAGTAGTCTGAATGTTCTAACAGATAGCAGCCTAAGTGGCCATCAGTATGTCCCACTGTGAATGACACTGGTGATTAGAGAGGCCATAGGAAGCTCTGTGGGCATCTGTGTGCTTGGATGTCAAGGCAGAGCTCTCTATAACTTCATTTTTGAAGAGCTGCCGTGTGGCTGTGTTGTAATATATGGGACAAACTTTGTGTGGCTCAGTGTTACCACGTGGGATGTGAACTATCGGAGTAACTGGCATTGTCGGCTTGTCTTCTCTTGTGCTCAGGCAGCAGAATTCATGCAGGCAGGGAAGCAGCTGGTGGTAATGTGCTGAGAATGACAGGACGGACACTGCCCTCCACTCCTGGCTGCTACTAATCACCAAACTCTGCTGCTGTAAAGAACAATCCCCAGGTTTGGGGGGTAAATCCAGGACCTAGTTGAGTAGCCTGAGAGCTGCATGGTTTGGCCTCGTGAAATGCTTGATTCCCTGTAACATTTGCTTGTGGAGTATGTGAGTTTTGTGTCACAGGCTCAGCGGTGGTGATAAAGAAGGCGACAGCATCTTTTTGGGCCACCCAGCTGGGTGCATTATACTCCATGTCTCCTTGCAAACTTGCAGTGCCACATGTCCAAACGAAAAAGACAATGAGGGGGAGGACAAGCAGAGCAAGGTCAGCAGCTAAAGCCACCTAAAGTAGGTGTGGAAGCAGTACTGTAGGGAGACCTAAGTGGGAGTAAGACAACTAGAATGGAAAATCAACATGTCTCGTCCCTGCACGCAACCCCATTCTTTGTCATAGTGAATTTAAGTAACCAGTATCCTTATCTGAGAAATCTGTCATCTCACTGCCCATAGAACAGCAACAGGACCTGTTCTGCTTGGCAAAGCACTGCTTCCTGGCTGTATTTGAATCTGTCTACTCACAGGTCATTTTTCCAGCAGGGCACGATACAGGCACAGAATGGATAGAGAAGGAACCTTTTTGCTGCTGCCCACCTCCTGAAAGGGAGAGTGTCCCTTGTGTTAGTGGGAAAGAGGCTCAACAGCCTCTTGCTTTTTGATAAAAGCTGGAAGTTTCACAGTGCTTTGAAATTATTCTCTGCTAAAGTATGTAGATGGCTTCCTAGCGCTGCCTCTGGAGCACAGGCAGCCTTGCGGATGTCCCTGGTCACATGAAGCTTGTGATTATTCACTGCTGAACTAAGCAAGGTCCAGAAAACAATGGCATGACCTGATTGTGAAAGATGGAGTTGGCTTGTTGCAATGCTGTTAATCATCTAAAGTGTGAAGGTGCTTTAAAGAAAACACTTGGTGGTGGTCATTTTGCTGAGTTTTGACATGTGTAGGATTTTTCTGTACTAAATTCTCAAAAGGCCAAAAAGTATTTGAAGGCCAGTTTGAGAAATATTCTTCATGCAAAAGGTATTGATTATCAGCCTGAGCAAGGTAAAAAAAAAAAAGCCATAGAAAAGGGCAAACCTGTGTTGTGTTCAATGGGGAAGGATTGTTGCTTTTTTTTCTCCCCTCTTCCACCATGTGAACCCACAGCAGGCAAAGCAAAGTTGGCTGGTCCAGCAGCGACACAGTGTGTAACCATCAGTGTGTTACTTTCCAAACTTCTGGATCTCTGTTTTCTTGCTTCTTACCTGACTTCAGAAAGCCTCAGCGACAACAGTTGTCTTTAACTTAGTGTTCACAGGGTAATCCAGCCTTGATCTGCTGTTTTGGACTTAATAGAGAACTCCTTTGTAAAATGAAGAAATTGTGGTAACACCATCAAGAAGGATGAATGAAACTACAAAACCTTGAGGAGAAATTAAAAAAAAATAGGCAAAAAGGAAAAACTAAAGTTCTTTAGTTCAGATATCTTAAAATACTACCATTAAAAGAAAAAAAAAAAAAAAGAAAGAAAGAAAAATGACATTATTCACTGATGTCTAAACTTGGTAGACATTATTAATGCAAAAGATTCAATGTTTAAAATTACGTAGGGAATTGGGAAGTATTTTAACTTCAAGGTCGATTTAAGCTGTATAAATATGTCTCAGTTTCATCTACTGCATCAGGTATCTATTACTTTTAGAAATTCTAGTGAAATGTTAGCATTTACAGTTTTTAAAATGTCAGTGTTCTTAATTCATGTTTACACAAGATAGCTTTTATTTCCAGCAGCATTGCAGTGTTTATTTCAGACTGGGTAGAGGGACAAGGAAGATGTATTTTTTGTTTTTTTTGAATCAGTTCATGCCATGTTGAGGCAAGATTAAGACAAGAAAAAAATATATGATTTCCTCCTTTAGATTTATAAGTAAAAAATAAATAAATTTGAAAAGAATGAGAAGTGGGAAATATAAAAGTTGTAGGACCAAATTTTAAATGTATGCTTATTAGAATTTTCTGAAATGACAGATTAGCTAGTCTGTCATTTCCAGATCTTACATGCTGTATTTCTTTTTAGTGGCAGTTGAAAACATTTTTCAGTACTGCACTTTTATTTTTGCATGTATGCAGCACCCTTATGATAGTTCTGTTCAACTAATAACCCTGTAAGATGGTGTGTATATACATTAGGTAACAACGTATCTATACACCTAGTAGCAGCATGGCGCTATTTCAAGTGGAAGGATAATTATAAATGTCTCATTCACTATTTGACATATAAAAATAAGGTTTTTAGCTTATGTTAAAAAAGGTAATCAAATAGAAATAGATGGTGTGATTGAGAGGTTGTGTTTTTCCTGCATAGCAACAGAGCACCTAACCTTCAGTTGTTTAGAAATGGCAAAAAGGCATAATGCAAATGAGTTTTAAACTCTTGATATAAATAGTGCAAGTGGTCGTGGTGCACACAGAGAAGGAGTAAACTACCTGTGTTAGAAACACTGGGGCCTTCCTCCTCTGCTGTTGGACATACATCGTCTTCTCTTTCTTTGTAGTCCAGAGTTCATACAGCCTGTCTAGTTGGATTTCCTCTGGGAAGACTTGTGGCTTTTAGGCTGATTTTTGGTGGGTGAGTGCAGTGTTAATGCTCAGGGCATAGTAATTCTTGATAGTTAATTACAGTCTTGTGTTTGTGCAACCAACCCCTACACCTCTGCCTCCTGAGATGCACCTGACTGTCTTACAGGTTACGTTAGCTGGACCAAAGCTCAAAATACAAATCCCATACAAAAGTGCACTGACTCATCTTTTGGTAAATCTCTTTCTCACCTAGTGGTTGGTTTGTGAATGGTAAGAGCCTGATACTCCTACCTTTCTGCAGAGTTGGAAGGGCAACAGGTCCAAGCCTGCTAATGCTTGAGTCTGAGGAGTGAGGAAATCAGGGACTTGTCATAATGTGAGTTTCCACATTGTCATAACTGACCTGTGCAGAGTGCAGGTAATTCTGACTACAGGGCAATGAAATTGCACATGCATGGAGTTGCATTTTTTTCAAAGCAGATGAAAAATTATGTGCCCAGGTGAAAGATTGCCAACAAAGTGCAGTTCTCACCACTAACAGAAGAGCAGCAAATGTAGAAGCCTCTGTCAGGAAGAGTCACTTTGCTCCGTCGCTTATATATGAGTGCCTGTGTCCACTGGGCATTTGCATGGAATTCAGTTTTCTTGGAATTCACTGTTTATTTCTGGTGCTGCGTTCATTTATGCTGCTCTGAACTTGTCTTGTTGAACAGGTAGACAGGAAGAAAGATACCTGGGTTAAAATAACCACTCAGCAGCAAGTCTCTGTGGGTGAAATCCCACCAACTGCTCAGTGATACGAGCTTCGGATTGCAGTCTTCAAGGACAG